CTCGAAAACCAGTAATTGCGTTGTTTTATCCGAGTGGACGACAAGGCTTGGTCATGGAATCCGCTGGGCGTGCTCAATTTGATGACATGCATGAATCCTTAGACAGACATGTTGAGGACGTTCTGACCGGTCGATCCAAGGTCAAACGTACACTCCAGGGCGTTTGGTCGTTTTTGAAAACTCGTCAGTGTATCTTCAGTCGTTTGTTTTTCGATGTTTTCTCACGCTCTTCGCAGCGATAGGCGTACGTTTGCTATAGTAGTATGATTTATTTGTGGTTACTGATTGATTGTAGATCATAACGGGCATTTACGGGTTTCTTGTTGGTACGGAAATATATCGCGCTCTATTCTTGAGTGCTGACCTTTTGCAGTGTTCTGGGGAGCTGCGCTGGTGTTATTTTTGCTAAAGTGGATCAATTTACACAACGCAAATACCCAGGGTTTTTGGGTTGAGGTATGCTCTCAGGTCGTGTGTGGTCCGTTGTTGTATATTTCCCAAAAACTTCCATAACCATCTTTCATCAGGTTTGTTCACCATCACCGGGATTGGCCTGATTCCTACGCGTGCTCTTGACACCTATAGTGGGCCCCTGTGGTCTTTAGTCTTATCGCAATAACTAACTTTCGAAGCAGGAATCTGTAAAATTTGGCACTACAAGCACAAAACAACGAAGCTACGAGATAAAGCTGGTTTCCCTCAGCTATTCGACGTCGATGACTTGCCCGATCCTGTCTATGACCCTACCTTTGTCCATGTTCTCACTGAACGGGAACAACAGGATTTGCATCATCGTACGTACTCAAATTTGTGGTGGCTCATGATAAACGTCGCTCACTTTGACGCAGAGCAAGTCAAGTTTCACGAGAGTCAGACATGGTACCGCCCACATGGTACTGTGACCCACCGAGTAAGTTCTTTCATATCCATTGCATGACAATGCATTGTTAACACCATTTGGAAGGCATTTCCAATCAAGTGCGTCTTTCTGGCTCAGGTTATATCTCTGCTCAGATCCGCAATGTGTATCACAGTACGGCACTCTGGATATGTCTCTTTATCGATGGAAATTCTGCTTTTCAGGTAAATGTCATGAAAGGCGAAACTACGCTTATTTACCAGTGTTCAGGTCATGCTGTCGAGTTGCATGTGGTCTATGAACCGGTAAGCTCTGTTCAGAGGCTAAATTTGTATCGAGCTAAATTTCTTTCCGCGCCAGATTTGAACGACCGGCGTGGACCACAGGTAGTCTCATTCCCGCGTCGTTTTTGTGCGGGATAATTTCGGCAATATTGATTTGGCGAGGTGGCCAACAGACCAGATGCACGGAGAAAATTGGAAATACCCTACGAACAGCACTTGCGAAAGACAGCTACGATGGTCTTTTGCACGCGCCAACCATAAACCTTTTGACAAATTCTCCTAATGATCTCCCTGGGCAGACCAGTACTGCTGGTACAACTGACTTCAACACGTCATCGGAGAAGCATGATGATAGCAGTGCGACCACTGCTCCTCCAGCAGCGTCGCCTGCCATTGTAGAAGAAATGACGATACCCATGATGAAATAGACAATTGACAACGAGCCTACTATTATTATACCTTCACTCTCATTCAAACATATATTAGATCTATCAGACCAATAGATATTGCATGCTAATATCATTCATTCCATGAAACGCGATACAGTACATTAAGGATTGTTGAAATCCGACTACTACGAACATAGACGCGCTAAGCTCCTGCCTCACTGCCGAGACACTTTGCGGGCCCACAAAGCAGCAACTATCTGTTGCCCTGTCCCTATTGACGAAAACATCGCCGGACATTGTTTTCTTTTTCTTGCGACAACTACCCGAGGTCAAGTGTAGGCCAGTTCCCCGATAAAAGGGCCATGATAATTTAACCACTTTGTGGGCGCTGTTGAAGCGCAATGTGTATAAAATTAGGCGTTAGCTCTGGCCCAGCGTGCGGCAGCAACCAAGTTGGCCAAGGAAGCTTCGGTTTCCTTCCAGCCACGAGTCTTCAGACCACAGTCCTGTAAGAAGATATGAGCGGTGGCTTTAGAGCGAACACTTGATATTCCACTTACAGGGTTGATGAACATGAGGTGGTCGGGGATGATGGCCAGGGTGGTCTTGAGACGCTCAATGATCTCTGCCTCGCTGGGGATACGAGGCGAGTGGATGTCGTAGACACCGGGACCAATCTGGTTGGAGTAGCCGTATTGCTTGAAGGTGTGGAGGAGCTTCATGTCACTCTTCGAGAACTCGATGGAGATGACATCGGCATCGAGACGCTGGATGGAGGGGAAGATGTCACCAAAGTCGGAGTAGCAGAAGTGAGAGTGGGTTTGAGTGGCGTCGGTCACACCAGCGGTGGAGAGCTTGAAGGTGTCCACAGCCCATTGCAAGTACTCATCCCAGTCAGAACGACGAAGAGGAAGCTGAGGCTTGATTAGCAGCGAATTTATCTGATCACATGAAAACACTTACACCCTCACGAATGGCAGGCTCGTCGACCTGGATGGCACTGATGCCAGCCTTTTCGAGATCAAGGACCTCATCACGGAGCGCAAGAGCAAGCTGCTGCGACTGCAGTTTACGTGGAACATCGTCACGAGGGAAGGACCAGTTCAAGATGGTGACAGGGCCAGAAAGCATACCCTTCATGGGCTTGCTGGAGACACTCTGTGCGTAACTGCTCCACCTGACGGTCATCGGCGTGGGACGGCTAACGTCGGACACGATGATGGGGGGACGGACATAACTGTTGGCAAAACAATGAGGCTCGATCATTCAACTTTGCTCGTAATGCAATACTGACCGAGATCCGTAACTTTGCACCCAGGCGTTTTGAGTGAAGACGAAGCCGGTCAGTTGCTCACCGAAGTATTGAACCATGTCGTTACGTTCAGGCTCGCCGTGGACGAGGAGGTCAAGGCCGACTTTCTCCTGGAACTTGACGACCAGCTCAATCTCCTTCTTGATGAACTCATCGTATTCAGCCTGAGAGATCTCACCCTTGCCGAGCTTGGCACGGGCAGTACGAATCTCTTTGGTCTGAGGGAAGGAACCGATGGTAGTGGTGGGGAATCTGGGCAGGTTGAGGTGCTTGGCCTGGACTTCCTTGCGAACGGCGAAGGGACTCTTGCGGTCGTACATGTCAGGGGTAATGGCAGCAACACGCTTGCGGACAGCGTCGTCTGAAGTGGACTCAAACTCGCGACGCTTGGCAATGGAGATCTTGTTGGCCTCAAGGGCAGCAGAGACCTTGGGGTCTTGAGAGCCAGAGAGAACAGCTGCGATGGTGGCAACCTCGGCCGCCTTCTCAAGGGCGAATGAGAACCAGTCCCTTTGCTGCTCGGTGAGCTTCTTCTCGGAAGCAAGAGTGACAGGGGTGTGCAAGAGAGAGGAAGACGTGGCAACGACAACACGGTCAGCGCCGAGAGCAGCAATGGCAGTCTGCGCAAACTTGATGGCAGCTGCAAAGTCTGCTTTCCAAATGTTACGTCCAGAAACAACACCAAGAGAGATCACGATGGGAGTGGACTTGATGGCAGCAAGAACCTCGCCGAGCTGCTGGGGTGCACGAACGAGATCAATGTGAAGGCCAGCAACGGGGAGCTTGGCGATGAAGTTGATGTTGGAGTCCAAGCGGTTGAAGTAAGTGGTGAGCATGATCTTGGGAGAGACAGGGGCAAGCTCGGCGTAAGCAAACGCATACTGCTTGTCTAGTTCGGCACCCTTGTCGAGAACAAGGATGGGCTCATCGATCTGGACGGATTCGGCACCAGCAGCCTTGAGCTCAGACAAAAGCTGCTTGTAAACAGGCAGGAGCTTGGGGAGTAATGAGATAGGCTGGAAGTTAGGAGATGCTTCCTTGGCGGCCTTGCCAAGAACGAGGTAGGAGATGGGGCCGAGAACGACTGGGCGTGTGACAACGCCGATCTCCTTGGCCTCCTTGTACTCGGCAAGAACCTTGTTGTAGAGGAGCTTGAAGTCGGTCTCCTCGGACAACTCTGGGACAACAAAGTGGTAGTTGGAGTCGAACCTGAAACATCAAATTAGAACAACAACACCATTTAGGGATAGTGAAACTAGGACACGTGCCATTTCTTCATTTCACAGGCGGGGACATCAACGCCGTCAGCCTGACGACCACGGCCCATAGCGAAGAAAACATCGAGGGCAGAGAGCCCAAGACCCTGGTAACGCTTAGGGATGGCGTTGAATGCCGCAGAGTGGTCAAGAACGTGGTCATAGAGGGAGAATTCTCCGCTATGAATAGATTGATCACATTAATAAATATCTTTGAGCTCGAAGATAGTACTGACCTGGGGATCAAATCAACACCTCGTTCTTTGAGGCTAGTCCAGCTGGACTTTTTGACATCAGCAGCAGCCTTGATCAAATCCTCTGCGGAGAGTTTGCCAGCCCAGTAAGCTTCAACGGCCTTTTTCACCTCACGGTTTGCACCTGGTCAATCGGGATCAGATATATCTGACTTGTAATCAAGAAACCCATGTACCGATGCGGGGGAAACCAAGAACGCTTGACAAGACCATTCTGAATGAGTTATGGAGGTAGGAAGAAAGGGATGGAGAGGCTATGATCGATCGAGCTGCGTGATTTTGAATTATAAGTTATCTGAGTTCGCGCCTGCCCTGAGTAATTGAAGATGCAATCAGTTGCCACGGCATGTGACAAACGCCATCCTATCTGCCAGCATTCCCCAGAGACTCGTGACCACTATGAGGCGAGAGCGCTCTCCCATGAACATGAGAGTTCATCGCATAAAGCCCCTTCGTCGTCTCACACGCCTAAATACTCTCTCATTCTACCAAGGCTGAACGCTCATTCAATAGATTACCTACCACATCATGGGTTTCATCTGAACGCTCACTCGCTTAGATTACTTAGCTTATCTTGAACGCTCACTCAGTAGATTGCCTAGCTTCAAGTTATCGGATCAAAAATTCCGACGGCTTTATTACAAGTCACTAGACTAACTTACGCTAGGGGTATGACTACTGTAGTATCTACGCAATCAGAAGATCTTAAACCGTGAAACTACATTGCGAAACGAGAACCGACGGGGTCGCTCTGGCCCCATCTTGACAGGCATGCGAGCAAGTATCGGTTCATCAAGTGTCTGCCCCTCAGATAAGTCTGCCACGTCAATGGCAGGCTCATGGGCATGCGTTTCCGGAGTAATGGGTCCCTCACTCTCTACCCCTGAAGAAACAGAACGCGTAGAACAGCTCGATAGGCTATCCCGTGACTCGTAAAGTCGATAGTCTTGTGGCTCAAAGGTTCGAATATGGAGTTGTGAGGGCGTCCTGTTGACGCTCGCGGGCGGTAGGTCGCTAGGTCGCCGAGATGCAGGCGCGGATCCGCGATAAGCCCACTTGGGATAAGGAGGACCGCCGTCGGAGTGGAAGTTGGATTTCGTCGATGAGCAGTTGACGAGGGTTGTGTCGGCTACGACTTGATTGAACACCAAATCAGTCAACGGTGTGGCGCGCCTGTGGTAGTCGTCGCGAGCAGCTTCTTGCGCGTTGTCCGACGCGTCGCGGAGCTCGGCGTCGCTCATGTAGAAGGTATCAAGGTTGAGGATCTCTTCTCTGAGTTCTGGAAGGCTGATTCGCGAGAATGGTTGTAGGCGAAAGATGCGTTTGAGTATGTCGTTGAAAGATTTCGAGATGGGAAGGATCTCGCGAAGGAAGTCCACGTTGTAGAGATATCCGAGGAAGCCCTTGTCCGAGGGTGTCGCAAATCGCCAAGGATTGCGACCTGAGACCATGTTCACAAGAATAACTCCCAATGACCAGATATCCGTGTGAAGCGGTGAGTAATGAGGGTACTTCATCTCACGACTAATACATTCTGGAATGTAGCTTATTAGATAGTGCACCATGCAATTTGAAATCGGAACATACCAGGACTCATATAATATGAACTGCCTACGCCAAACTCCTGACTAATACGACTTTTGGTCGCTAGCCCGAAATCTGCGACACGAATATCCAACCCGCTCTGGCGACAGAGAATGTTCTCTGGTTTCAGGTCACGGTGGTACACACCCAACTGATGACAGGCATGTACGCCATCGAGAAGCTCGATGAATGCCCTCTTGATGAGCGGGACATTGTTCTGGTAGATACGGTTCTCGATGATGGCGGTGTAGAGGTCCCCACCTGGGCAGTAGTCGAGCACGAAGTAGATGTAAAGTTCTTCCTCGATGATCTCGTGAAGGGTACAGATATGTGGCGACGAGCTGGATACTAAGGAGTGCAATAAGATCTCACGTCTCTGGCATACGAGGCGCTCAGGGGAGAGTTCCGTTTTTGGCAAGCACTTGATTGCATAGTAGACAGGTTCGCATGGGTCTGATTGAGCATCGAGAGCGCGATAGACGTTTCCATAGGAACCGGAACCAATCATGTCGACGAGCTCGAAGCGACCGTTGCCGACGATCTGACCTGAGAAGTTTGGGAGGGCTTCGCTATAATTCATGATGCTGATCAGTATGTTGAAAGTAACGAAGTTGTTCCAAACGAGATGTGAATTCGAAGTCGATTGTTGAACTTGCTGAGCGTCAGTACTTCTTGGTTGATGGGTCGACGTTGAGGTTAGTGTCAAGGGATAAGGAAGAGATCGTACATGATTTTATACTTTCGGTTGGTCTCACTTGCAACTCCATGTCAGCCATAAATTACCCGAAAAGGTATTCCTCTGACGACATACCTGATTAGTCCAAATCGCAATAGCACAAGTCACGCTCCAAACCCCATCCCTTGACATCGGGAACCAGTGGTCACGAGTGACGTTTGGTTGGTCTAGTCGTCACGGGTCTAGTACGGCCCAAAAGCCTGCGGAAGTCCGAATCCCCATAGTGGCTCGTTCTTAAGTGAATCATCTTCCCACTGTCCTCACTTTGTTTTTCTCATCATGTCCGATAATCCATCATTCGTACTTAAAGGCATTCTGGATGTTGAGATCCAGCAAAAGCCAATTCCAGAGAGTGAGTCTATCTTTGGATGGTTCCTCCACGCTCGCTAAATCGCCATACCTTGTGAAGTTGACCCCAATGAAGTCCTTGTGGAAGTGAAGAAGACAGGTGTGTTTTCAGAGCCTCTTTGTCCTTTATTTTTCTCCCAAGGCTCATTCGGCATGACAACAAGGAATCTGCGGCTCAGATGTACGCCCCTATCTATTGTTCTGAACCAGGATACCAAGTTATCTTCTCCAGGTACACTTCCTTGTCCACGGAAGGATCGGAGATTTTGTTGTAGAGAAGCCCATGGTGGGTTGGTTCGATAGGATCCACAGCTGAGCCTCATCGTTAGCTATTAGGTGCTGGGTCACGAGGCAGCAGGCGTGGTCTCAAAAGGTACGTCCATAACTTGCCTCCTATTCAATTATTTTTATCTTGACCTTCAACTATAGTTGGTTCCAGAGTGACCAATGTCAAAGTGGGTGACAGAGTCGCTATGGAGCCTGGCGCCACATGTCGCAAGTGCGAAGCTTGCAAGGAGGGTCGCTATCAGGTAAGGGTGATTTTCGCTCCAATTTTGTTTCCTGACAGCCCCGAGCAGCTTTGCCCCGATGTCATCTTCGCCGCTACCCCTCCTACGGATGGCACCCTCGCTCGTTACTACCGCCTACCATCTGATCTCGCTTACCCGCTTCCACCAAACCTTAGTCTCGAGGATGGAGCAATGGTAAGCGGTTGGCCACATCACATTTCACTGAAATTTGACTCTGCTCTAGATGGAACCTCTTTCCGTGGCAGTCCATGCTGTCTCGAACCTCGGTGCTTTGCGGTCGAATCAGTCCGTCGCCGTCTTTGGCTGTGGACCTGTTGGACTTCTATGCATGGCCGTCGCAAAAGCTCTTGGCGCTTCCCGTGTTATCGCTGTTGATATCGTTCCTAGCCGTCTCGAATTTGCCAAAACATATGCTGCAACTGATATTTTCCTACCTCCTCCTATGGAGAAGGACGAATCGAGAGTCGAATTTTCGATGCGCAATGCCCAGGCGATGAAGGAGAAGCTTGGAATCGCTGATCGGGGACCTCAGGCAATTGACCTGGTTTTGGATGCTTCTGGTGCGGAGGTTTCTATTCAGACTGGGATCCGGATCGTCAAGAGTGGTGGCACCTACGTTCAGGTAGGTTGAAATCGACAGCACTGAAGGGGCTATGTGATTGATTATGAATAGGTTGGCATGGGTAACCCCAATGTCAACATCGACATGTTTGTTGTCATTTGCAAGGAACTCGTCCTCAAGGGTTCTTTCCGATATGGCGTAAGCTCTTTTCTCTCTCGGAAGCATTGCTTGACCCTTGTTGAATGAAGCCCGGTGACTACCCTCTCGCCATCGCCCTCGCTGCGTCAGGCAAGGTTGACGTCAAGACCCTTGTGTCGCACCGGTATGCTAACTGTCGGAACAACTATCCAATGTTTGTCGTGCTGAGTGCTCTAATAGCTTCCCGTTCACGCAGGCGCGCGAGGCATTCGAAACTACTCGCAATGGCAAGAGCCCTGATGGCAAGGGGGTCATCAAGGCCATCATATCCGGTCCTGATGTCGACATCAACGAGGCTTGAAAAACCACATGAAGTATTATGCATTTGCAGGGAAAACATAGCACGAACGTCATTCATGATCATGTATTTCGATTATCATTCTGTCATTTGTATGTTGTATGCGAATTGTTCAAGGAGATATGATGGCTCGCCAGCCTAGTAGAGAGATGAAGAGTTCTGTCACCTGTGGCTGTGTATAGTACATGAGCAATACAAGACCAAACAGAGATCGCTGGTCCTGCTCAGTGCTGTCGGCTTGTCTGACGATATCAAGAAAACCCATCCATACTTAAAGTTAATAACTATGAATTTTAGTCGTCTTCAAATTGAGACCTCGAAGCGGTCCAAGAGTTATTATATTGCTTCCTGCTCCGCGGGTATGTCTGACAGCAGTCGCAGTCGCTCTTCCTGCACGTCACAGTGACGCGCTCGTTGACCGCGAGCGCGCGCGACTCGACTATACGAAGGCGAGTTGCAAAAATAGGTGTTGGTGAAGCTTATAGATTTTCTCCCCGAAATTTTATGCTTCCATAGCATGAAAAGGACAGCCATGGCACGCTCTCCAATCCAACTTGCTACTGACAGGCTCAAACCTTGGTCAAGGTGAGCCTGGCATCCATGGCACTGTGTGCACATGCTCCGTCCACAATGTTCTGCTTTGTCTCCGTATTCCATCCACAACACCACAAATGGCACCTTTCGGCCTGTAGTCCACATCGCCTCAAACGCTTTGAAATTGTTCTGGTATTTATACTATCTCACTGGGTTTTCTTTCGATAATTTATATCTTCACCATCCTGATCTGTATCTTTAACATGTATCTCAACGTAGACAAAGAGCTTCCTTTGTTGCCCAGATACTTGAGCACACCCACTGGCGCAAGGTCAACGCCCTTGGCACCTTCGTCCACTGGTGGCCGGGTTAATATGGAACCCCCGTACCCAACGCTCGTGCTCGAACATTTTCCATCATCTGCAGAGCTTGCACTTATTAGTTCCTGGCATGATGCCACCTCAGCTGTGTGTGGCATATATACTATTAAATGGACAATGTTGTCTCACTCTTCTCTTCCAGCGGCAAGTTCGCTTTCAGCGCAAGTCAACGCCTGATGATTGTCTGCGTTCTTTTCCACCGCCAATGTCTGAAGCGGAGAAGGCTACACTAAGGACTTCATGTGAAAATGACAACACTACACCCCAGAAACAACGGGGATTATCCACCGGGTATGCACAACCTCGACCGAATATTCAAGTCATTGATTGATCCAGGTTATGCACAGGAAACGGCCAGTAGATGGTCAAAAGTTTGAAGAGAAAAGGCCGAAAACATCAATGCCTTTCCGCTCCCAGAAATTCGCTCCATACGAGGCCACCGCTTTTACCACGCCCACGCGGCCCGCTTATGCTCCTGTTAATCAGCTCGCTTTTACCTCCGCGCCCACTCATTCAATCGATGCTCCGGGTGATGAGCTCGATGAGGCTTCGCAGGCACTAGGAATTGACATGAATGATGGAGGTATTTATCTCACTTTCGATCCCGACTGTAGATCCTCCCGCGGTGAAGCCGTCCTTACTTTCCTGTCACCAATTCCTGACGAGACATACTCGCCTCCCATTCCTCAGCACCGCTCCCTGAGCGAGGTCCAGTTTGGGCAGAGGTCAGCGATGCCCCGGGTCACGTCTACCAGGGCCAGGATGCAATGAGCTGCAGTCTTTTTTCGGCGTTGAAAATTGACCTGTTGTAGCCGGTCTACCTCAGCTTCACTGCCTCCCCTTCATTCTATATTACTGTTCACTTTGTTCAACTCATCACACAGTCCTCTTATGGCCATTCTACGCTAGCTTCACGACATGAATCCCTCGTTCTTTATCCTTGGCATTATGTTTGACTCATCTGACAACTCTAATTGGTTTCTCGTTCTCATTGATCACTTTATACTCTATGTATCCAACTAACCAATTCATTTGTATTGCCATTAGTATTATCCACAATTCCACAATATATAATCTTATGATGACCTTGGAGCGTCGTCCACCCGCGTGCGTCTCGCGTGCCAGGGCGCAAACTTCAAGCCCACCGCTCCGCTTGCTGGAAATCGATTACTATATTTTATTTTTGAAACAACTTTTCTCCATCTTGCTCCATATCTTACAACATACTGCCAAGTTCCCCGTCTAAACAATATAATGCGCTCCACCTCACTTTCCCGGTATCGTAAATGTGTGTGCAAATCAAACTGCGTCATCATGAGGTATGGATATTTGCCACGAGATCAACGTCATTTGTACGCCCACAAGATATAAACCCCAGTCTGTCCTGAAATTTTGGCACCTTCCGGAGATTCAATATTACATGGGCCGTTGGCTGATAAGTATTCTACTTTCTCTTCAGGTCCTTTCCCGCCTAACACCTCCCGATCGACTTCTTCATATATGTTGTTGGGTCAATGTGGTGATTGATCCATGCGAATTCAATTCATTATGCATAGTGCTGAGTGCTTACTATTTCATGGGTGTCATTGCGATACCATGTACAGAAAAGAGCGTAACCAGCTTGTACACTGGAACATAGCAAAAATAAATCTTTCTGGACGCAAGAGGTGTTTACGGTTTGGTATTAAAAGCACCTAGTAAGTGGTTGGAGATACTTCAGAATATCTCAATTGAAATAAGTACCACGACGAGAAAATAAAAACGAATTCTCCTGCTCGCAGAGTTCTTCACATCTTTTGATCAAATTGAGCACATCTCGTGCTATACACTATTGCTAGTTTGCACATGCACACGCTCCTGGAAAGCAATTGAACTCATGCCTGGATCGTATTTGGCCACTGACCGGTAGTCTCATTGAAATCCGCAGGATCTGCACTAACAACCTGTCTCAGAGCTTGTATATCATAACGAGATGCCCTTGCAGAATTCTCAGAGGCAGTCGATCCTATTATGCAGGGTGCAATGTACCACGTCGCAATTGAGCGTCCAGAATCGGAGGGGCCAGTATCGAGTATCAAAGCAGTCAGCCATACTTTATTCCGATTTGTGAGTGAAGGATTAATAGACTTTATAGTGTCTACTCCCTTCCTCCACATCCGCAAATATAGTTATCCATTTCTCTGCGACGGGAGAACCATTTGCGATCGACTATTCCGTTTCGCCTGTACCTCAAGATGAAATATACCATGTGACGAACATGGGGAGCTACCCGGCACATAATGCGAGTATGGTACTCAAGTCATCACGAATGGCGCCTCTGTATGCATTCTCTCACGTTCTTGAACTTGTCTGATTGACACATCCGTGTCTGTAGACCTGAGTTGCAGATCCCACCTCCGCTTACGCCTGAAGGCGAGCCAGTAGCACCCATCCCTGAGAAAAGTTTCGTGCAGAAGTATTGGATATATATGGTTGTTGTTCTCGGGGCATTGCGTGAGTTTTCGGTTTCTCCTGTGATGCGACATGGAGTCACTTTTATAAGTCTCAACTCGCTCGTCTTCTTGTACCTTTCCTTTGTTGTGAAGCATATACTGACCGCGTTATTCTATCAGTGATGGGAAAGGAGGGAAGTAGATCCACATAACTTATCATGTTAACTTTCCGAAGAGGCTCTGCCACTGTAAGCCGGCGCATGTCAATGCGAGGAATTAGTTCTTCCCTGATCGTGAATGCGGTTACGACGATGATGCAGAAAAAGTTTTTTTCGATCAGTGCTCTTGAGCGGTCAAGTGGAAAATATATATCATCGAACCAAAAAGCTTGCTTATCAAAGTAACAGGGATTGGTCTGGCAACTAGAAAAGTTGTACAAGATGCAGGACACCCTTGATCACGCACTGGCTTGCATGTCTGTGATGAAGTCGAAAAATCAGTCCATCTAATGGACAGCCCATCTAAATTCCCCCCCAATTGAATAAAACATTGCATGTGTCCCAGGTAGACAGTGAATCAAACAGTGCCTCTTCGACATTTAGAAAGTCATTCGATAGCAATCTGACATCTTACATGTACATGATGTGTTCGTTTGTGGCTTGCATGTATCTATCCCAGGAAGCGCTATTTCACTGTCATCGTCAGCGACATATGTAAAGTGCCTTTGCAGTCCACATATACAGTATCACTAAAGCAGCACGGTCAGGTCCAGTCCAGTCCACAATCAAACTGAGGAAGAAAACTTACTTGTCCATAGGCCAATTACCCAAGCGGTAATATATTAACGGAGGAGGGATGCAACTGGATCTACAGAATGGGCAGCAAGTGAACAAAGGAGCGATGGTTAGTCACATAAGAAAAATGAGTGCCTTGAGTTGACAGCGGGAACAATAAACCTACTTAGATGCCGATGCCTTTGAAAATTCTGTGGTAATGATTAGAGGTTCCGGGGTTGCACAGTCAGGCGACTTTCTGTGGGCCTCTATCCGAAGTTGATTGCTTCCTTCTACTGGCAAGCTGGGCTCTTCAAGTCGACAAGCAGCAACCCACTTTCCATCACTGCACGAATAAACCCAGAACGTCCATATACGGCCTGTATGTAGTGAATAGGACGTGCCTATCAGCACCTCAGGCAGCACTTTTCGGTGGTATTAAAGGTCTGTGAGACGGTATTATTATGTTAGAACTAATGGGTCTGAGAGACCCAAGCTCGCCGATGTTCTAATTATAGCAACGCCTTCCTTCCTCTAAAATCCTCCAGAATCCTCTGCAGCGCCTCCCTCGACCCTCGCTACCCTCCCCTGACCCTCTTAATTCTCTGCATTAATGCTCACGTTCCTTGCTGACCTCGCTGGCAGTTTTCCGCTCCTCGCTGACCTCGCTGGCAGTATCCCATTCCAGGTATACTCGTGCCTGTCCTGTGGGCGCTGGTCTTTGCTGGCGTGCTAATAGGGACGCTCAAAGTTAGGTGCGCACTTCGCACACCGCACACCGCACACGACCCCCTCGCAAATGCACCTCCACCCAAAATGGTAACCTTAGATAATCGTCGGACTTTGGACTAAACCTTGCGGCACGCAGCGCCGAACAGTAGTAACTAGTTACTAGTTGTGAATTGTTCAAGGCAGCATTCCTAAACCTTACCCATCGTGACCATTAACCTTGCCAATAGAGTACTTTGTTAGTGCACATATTGTACATAAGTATTTTGATTATTTAATCAATTCAAAGCCACATTTCGAGCGATCACGTGATATAGTAGTCGTGAATTGTCTAAGGCAGCATTCCTAAACCTTACCTGAACCAGTTCCAAACCTCGTCATCCCAAGACCTTACGGGCCTGTTTTTAACCCTTTCTGCGCAGTATATTGTTCAGTAGGATGTTGTGCTTTTCCATAGATCATATATCAATATATCATGTGAATCATGTGATCACTCAAAATACGACTTTGAATTGATTAAAATAATCAAAATAATACTTATGTACAATATACTAACAAAGTACTCTATTGGCAAGGGTTAATGGTCACGATGGGTAAGGTTTAGGAATGCTGCCTTGAACAATTCACAACTAGTAACTAGTTACTACTGTTCGGCGCTGTGTGCCGCAAGGTTTAGTCCAAAGTCCGACGATTATCTAAGGTTACCATTTTGGGTGGAGGTGCATTTGCGAGGGGGTCGTGTGCGGTGTGCGGTGTGCGGTGTGCGGTGTGCGGTGTGCAAAGTGCGCACCTAACTTTGAGCGTCCCTAATATCCAGGGGAACAGATTGATGAAGTTTGTGTTTGGTGTGTCTATCTTATTGAGTTTCTTTTCTATGCTTTACATAGTCTCACTCTGCCTCGATTCATCAGCTGTTGCGTCCAACTATGTGTCGTTCATCTGCCGCCATGCCACTCATCAGTCAGATTCCACCTCCCAATGCTCCCCACCTTCAAGTCTTCAACTTTGACTTGGTTGAAGGAGGCGCCTCCAAGGAACATTGATAGAGGCTAACATTTGGTATGTGCGCCATCGCATTCTCATTATTCTATCCTCCTAAACATGTAGGTCTCTTTGTACAATACCCTCCAGCACCACTATTGCACCGCCCGCACCTCGCCAGCCCCCCAGAGCCCTCTACTGCAACCTCGTATCATGCGCATTGCCTGTATCATTACCACTTCCATCATGGTTTGTGAGTTATCACTTCTCAGTGCTCCCGCTGCCAGTCACCTCATCCATGATACAGGGAAGAGCACGTTTCGACTGAAACGAAGCCATCCATGTGTCTTGGCCATGGACCTTCTATTCGTGCGCTACCATCTCTCATCATCTACCTCGCACTCATAACAGCGACCACAAGCATCGATGACACCATTAACTTCCTCCGCATGCCACATGTTCTTGAAGATGCTAAAACCCATCTTCATTGTGCACTCCTTTGGCCTCTTAACGTCTATGTCAGTGAATTCAATGACAGATGTCTGGACAAATTGCCGGGCGACTTTCGTGAGCATCGCAAACAAAAACACACCCCAACTACTTCGCAATGTTGACCCATCCTGGTGTACATCATAAGGTGTTATTTCTGTGCGTACTACTTGATGTCCCCACCACTCAAATACAGTCTCACACTGCCTCTATTCACAAGTAATTAGTGTGCGGTTCTTCCACTGTGTCCCTTGCAAGGTCGTCAGCTTCTACCTCCGACACCCTAGAGTCCTTCAGAACTCTCACATCACTCAAAACACCACACCCTCGAGCGCCACCCAATCGTGCCCTCCCAGCCTCCAACACCTACTCAAATGTCCTCTGCTGTTGAAACGGGCACGGACTGCAAGGGAAACCCAAGGCCAAACCTCTATAGCGGGAGGCTACGGCTCTATCTATCGAGGAACGACTACGACACACCACTGGACTACCGACTATGAGCCAGGACTCCTGCTTCTGTGCCAGACCTGATCTGCCAGAACGCCCCACTACATCTGCCCCTCTTCAAATGCAACCATCCACAGTTGCACCATGGAAGACGAATGTGCAGGAGTGCGAGGACCTGCGGTGCACAAAATTCGCACTGTGGGCCCAAGCCGAGATCCACTGGTCATTCAAATCTCATTGACTGTCTGACGTCCTCATATCAGTCACATAGAACTTCTGGGACCCTGTCTTCCGGACACATCTTAGAGAGACACCAAGCTTGAGGTGAGTTATCTATACACTCTCACATCTTCACCAGGGATGTGCCGCACACTCCACGCTTGCGCTCAAGATTACTTATTGATGCAATCACCTACAGGTCCAGCAACGCCTCCCTCATGCACCTCGCTGCAGTCTTATATTCACACTCAGCTGCGCCTCCTCAGATGACCTGCAATGATTCAAACATGTAGAGCTGCCCATGGAATTCAACTCTATTGACTATCAACGAGAGCACTACGGGATATATTCTCAAAGCATCATGGAGGCTCCCTCATGACATGGCCACAGGAAGATGGTATGTATGGGATGCCACTTCGCAGTGCGTACTGCGACATATAATTCTAGACTGTATAATTGCCTCAGCTTTTTCCATGTGCTGTCTGAGGCAGTCGTGATCAGTTTGAGATGCCAGCATCATCTCATAGATCATCACACACCTCGCATCTTATGTTTCTTGCCATTGATGTTTAGTTGTTGTCATTGTACTTACCACACAAGTCTGATCAAATTATGTTGTTTTGTATCATGGATGAGCCTACTAAGACTCAGATTCAGGCAGAAAAAAAAGAAAGAAAAACATTTGATTGGAAGGATCACGGAAAAAAACATATGGACCTGGACATGCCGAGAACTTGAAACATATGAACTCCAGAGGCTCCCAAACACATCCATGAATCGTGATCACGCTCACTAACATTGTGGGGCAACATATGGAGATGATGACATAGTGACCCTCGTCAGGTGGCAACATCTGGAGAGGATGACAGTCGTGTTGAGGCTCGATAAGAAACATCCAGGAGACTGCACTAGTATTCACCCTCTTCCACGAGGGTCGGCATTTATCCTCTCGAGGGAGATCTACTCAGCCCTGCAAAACTAGGGAGCAGCCTCCTGGAGGAGGGGGTCTCTCAGACCATATAATTCCTACAAAATAATAGGGTCTGACAGTACGTGGGAACATCGTCAAAGTGCTGCCAAGGGTGCCTATCAGTACTTGGAAGAGAAGTAATATCGACCACATACCCCTGGCAAGATATTCTATGGCAATTGCCTGTGCAATACGAAGGTGTTTCTGGAACATCCTGAAACAGAAAGAAGCAGTGAAGCGACCACTGCTCTCTTGTATCTGAACCTCGTCTGGAGGACAACCCAAAAACTGTCTTAAGGAGTCATACTTGTCTGATAGTACATGATCAGCTAACCCTCTCTAGGAGCATGGAGTACCATGCACTCACACTTAACTAGTGTTTTGTTCAATTACAGCTGCGTGAACAATGTGTTGTCGCCAACCATCATGCACGCAAGACGCAAATCAGAATAGCAAGCAGGCGATGGATCGGGAATGAAGTGCATAAACGCCCACAGGGCTTCTCGGCGGTTGTTCACGATCGCCCGATACGGCGCCGTGTGATCCTCGATATTGGGTTGTTGCAGGAGTTTGGAGAACTCTGCTGCTGGGAGAGTGGCAACACAGGCGCTGACAGTTTGAGCGACAAAGGAAGGATTGTAATCGGGAGAGGAGACAGTTGCACGGATGCATGATAGGCATTTTTGCTTGGATTGTAAAGAGGCTCGGGGATATACCCAGCGACATATTTTGGACCAGATGGAATCTGCCAATACCGTTGACGTAGAAATTGCATCGTATGAGGGGGGTGCCGGAGAGTTGCAAGGGACGGTCACGCTGACATCGAAGGCTTCGGACTTGGAAGTCATTGTTGTAAGAGCAAATAATAGGGGCAAGATCTGTGCGTCTCACGTGTCACGGCGCTTTATGATTCCTTACACATACTAGTAGCATGCCATTAGTATCAAGCATCTCCCATGCTACGCACTACTGCTGGTCGATACATGAGCACGATCCTGGAAAGCAATTGAAGTCATAGCGGTTGCTGTATCGGAGTCCAGTTTAGCGTTATATTTTCGAATGCTAAGGGATGAGGCGTGGTCGTAGCACAGACAGCTGCGCCAATTTGATAATTTGAGGAAAACCAAGATAGTCCACCTTAGGGGAATAAAATTGATTGCACAGATCAGTATACCAGCACCACACAATTTACAGATACTACACTTGATCTAAGCCAAAAGGCCAGAGTGTAGTAAAAACTCACATATGCATGAACTCACACCATGGAATGATAAAAAAGGAAACAGAAACACAACAAAGCATGTGATAGAGCCACGAAAAGCAACATGACATAGTAGTACCTATGTATCGCCGCATCAAATGGCTGCAGCGCCCATTGCTTCCGCGATTAACAATTTTAATCGATAGACTATAAACGATGTTTTATTGGCTGACTAATCGGCTGTCTATGTACAAGACATGTTACGTCATCAATATATGCTTTTTCCTGTTATCCGCACTATAGTGTCGCAAGGAAATCCTGGAAGCACTAAGGAACCCCGAGCTCGGGGACTCAGTACTCAGTACTCAGGTACTTCACGACCGCAATTGGCTCTAGTGCTATAAAATAGGTTGGACACAGCAGTCCAGTGCTGTCTCAAACTTGAGTTCGTCCGTTGTCTCCTAGCCTGTACTAGTATCTACCTATGGCTGGGTTCAGCGTACGGAATGCATACTACCTTCGCGTATCAGCAAGTTCAGTGATACCTCTGTATGTAAGCGCACCTCCGTGCCTACTACGCGACCTGTTCTAATGACCACCGTAATCAGCTCTACCTCGATGAAAGACACGTAGACTGGATGTCGGACACAGTGCTACAGCATGTTCTGGCTGATCTGCGACCACTGTCAGTCTGTTTTGTCGTAGCTCTCGTGAATGTTTCTCAGATCTTTTCAGAGTTTTGCCAAAATTACAAGCCGAGAAAGACATCCACTTTGGTCCTGGGGCTTCGAGTGGGAGGAAGGGAGCGGTGGATGTCCATCGAGGAGGTACGGTCCTTATGTATATGAAACTGCGAATTCAATGTATAATCCACTTGCAGAGACTTATCAGGCTGCCTTTTTCTTCCAGAAGACGGAACCTCATAATGTAATCATTAAGGTGCGCGCAAGTTAACTCGAATGTATCTCTTCCAAACGCATCCTGACACCCTCCAGACGCGTTCATTTGTTCCAGCACCCCCACCTTCTTCCAAGGTTAATATACCCCCACCACAGCCGGAAAAGTCCAAGAGCAAAAGTGGGAAGAGAAAAAACAGAGTGTCGGAGAATAAGGATACTCAGGCAGCTTCTGGCCGCAAGAGAAGGAAGACTGCAGGCAGATCTCGAGCTCATAGTGATGAAGAGGACGAGGAAGAAGAGGAGGAAGTCATAAGCCTTTCAGATGACAGCAGTGAAATGGATAAGACACAAGGAGTTTTTCGAGAGACTCCTGCTACGACTCGACGTTCGCAGAGAATGAGAAAGATTCCTGTCGGGGGCTATCGTGAAGACGTCGAGGACCCTGTGGAAATTAGTTCTGATGAATCTCTAGATGTAGAGATGGCTGGCCCAACCGAGACTACCCAGCAAAACGAGGTCCCTGAAGAGGAACTTAGTGACCACGATGTCCTTGTGATGGATCACAGCGCTGAAATATCGACCACTGTTAAACAAGAAGACACAGAAAAGTCCTTGGAACCTACTATGGAACCTACTCTTGATTCGGAAACCATCGTAATTACTTCCGAGCCAAGTCGACCGTTTATGGAGATCGACGACGAAGACGACAAGAAGGACAAGCTAGCACTGAAGCTCAAGTACCAAGGTTTCAACATCTTTGGACGTTGTCTTTGCGTAGTCGTGGAGCCATGGCCTCCAATTCGATCTGCCACACGAGCGCCATCCGTCATACCCTTAACAAACGAGGCATTAAGAGGCTCGACAATCGCACCTCCTGATTTCGTGCCTAGCAATAACAGCCAAAGAGCCCGCACGCCTCTCTTCCTGCCAGAGTTTGATAGAGGTAGAAGCCTGACTCCTGCTCCTTTTCCTCGAGCAAAGACCTTGCCTCCAGTTCCTCTCTTCAATGACCCTTCCCCTGATTCTGATTCTGATGGTTACGGTAGTGATGATCTTATGATATTTAGCCAAGCACTTAATGCAGCTGGTGGCATGCACGTTGCGGCTGCAGATGACGATGATGAGATGGATGGAGCGGTATTATTCGGGGATGCAGATGAAGTGAGGGAGTTTTCGTAGTAAGGCTACATGGTCTATTAGATATCTAAACTCGATCCGTAATTTTATGCGCGTCCTATCTCTCTTAATATCTCCAACCTACGTGCTTCAGAGACTTGTCTGAATCCTGCGTTCAGCATATCGAAGAGACCATGTCCCCCAGACAATGCACGAAGACGGGTTGAATAATCTAGCATGCGGCTAAGGGGTGCGACTGCATGAATTGTGCGTTTAAACCGTGGAATATCGTTTGAAAACTTGGATGACGTAGAGGCAGCGGATGAGGGCGATAGTCCTTCTGGAGGGATGTACAATCCATCGGTGGAGTATGCGACTACTTCGTCTCCATCCATAGCTGGCGTGTCGGAAGCAAGGTCCAAAACTTCGCCACCGTTTTCAGTGAGATCTTTGACAACCTTTCCCATGGTGTCCTCATGAAGAGATATCTTGAGCTTGATGAATGGCTCTAACACGGGACCCATTCCCGCTTCTTGTATTCGAGTTCGTAGAATGGAGGAACTAGCACCGGCAAGAATGGACGTTGGAATGTCGCGGGGAAGGTTGTACTCAGTGACATGAATCTTAATGTGAGAGAGCGGCAGGGACGTATGCGGTGAATTCGATAGGGAGCTGGACAAGCCTCGAGCGATATTGGCCATAGGGTCCAGCTGATCCCGGAAGGCATCTGGAGACAACAGAGGCTTTCCACTTGGGCCCAAGACAAGGTTGCCATCCCAGACCGGATCCCCCTGCTCGTCGTCAGCAAGAGGTTCCATCGTCATCAGGATTTTGATCGTGACTGGTTTTCCTGCAACCTCAGTGGTCCAATTGTTTACATTGGAGCTAAGCCCAGGTCCCAGAGATTCACGATAGCTGACGCGGCGGCTACCCAATTCAAAATTGACATCCCATTCGTCCCGTAGTCTCCCCTCGACAATCTCGAGATGCAGGGCACCTAATCCGTGGACAAGTAATTGGCCCTCCTGCATATCGACCCGAACAGAAGGGTCTGTGCGAGATAGAGCATGCAAAGCCTCTTGTACAGGGTCGAGGTCAGAATGAGACTTGGGTATGACGGAGGCTGACATAACCGCGGGTGGTGGAACTACTCCTCGAAGGGATGTTTGCGATGAGTTAGACGAATGGCGAGCATCGACGAGAGTGTCGCCTGTGCGAGTGAACTTCAAGCCTAAGATGACTCCGACGGAGCCGTACGGCAGGGACTCGACTTCCTGTGCTTCTGCAGCATATAGGAGAAGAACCTTTGAAATTTTCTCTTTCTGACCACTGGTAACGTTGAATACAGAACTCTGACGCTTGAGGGTTCCTAGCGCGCTCGATGAACAACACTCTGCGTAAATCATGCTGAACTTACCGGAATACACGCGAACGAACGTCATCCATCCTTTGCGTTTATCCCAGCTCACTTTCCACGCCAAGAGGCGCAGTGGTCCGTTAGTTGACTCTGCGTCTAATCGAACGTCCATTGGGCTTGCCAGGAGCTCGCCAACATAGTTCATTACCAATTCTGTACCAATACTTTTCATCGCAGAACCGCAAAGAACAGGCAGAATATCATTGCTTAAGGTAGCTTTACGAAGATGTGGAATGATTGCAGACATCTCGACATCAAGATACGATGAAGGTCCTGGCGGCAGGGCGAGTAGGTGTTCCATCAATTCATCAGAGTACATCGAGAGGTTTTCCAAAAGAGTTGTCCGAGCGGCCACAAGGTGCGGCATCATGGGATGGTTTGCCGGAAGGATACCGCTTGTCTCGAGTTCTTCGACTGTTCTAGGAAGGGATTGTATGGTAGAGTGGCCGTCTTCCGTCCATTTCCAAATTTCCCATTTTACCAGATCGACCAACCCTTGAATACCTGGTTCGGCTCGCATGTAATCTTCAGTACGGAAGGAAGCAACTGGCAATACTAAAGCCACGGGGTTTGGGTGTAGCCTATGGGTAAGTAGCGAGACCAATGACGACCTAAAAGAAGCACCCGGTCGGTCAAGTTTATTCAGAAACATAAGCCTGGTGGGGACACCATATCTAAAGATGACTTCAGAAACATAGGTGGTCGAAATAAGATATGCACTTACCGATCCAGTTGTCGCCAAACGCCCTTAGTTTGTGCTTCGACTCCTTCCACTGAATCAATGAGGACGACAGCCCCGTCAACAACGCGACTTGCACTCTCCACCTCCATACCAAAATCAGCATGACCTGGCGTGTCTATGAGATTAAAAGTCCATTTATCCCACTTGACGGGAATGCTCGCGGATTGGATTGTGATGCCGCGCTCTCGTTCGGCAGGCAAGAAGTCTGTCGTAGTGCTACCAGTGTCAACTGATCCAGGGGCTGCCAGGTAGGCCGACTTGTGTAGTATGGACTCCGTAAGCGTAGTTTTCCCGGAGTCTGTGTTTTTTTTTTCAGATTGGTTCATGAGACTCGTTATGGCAGACGCACCAATGTGGGCTACCAGCGCCATATTTCTGATAAGAGAGGTCTCATGGTGAGCCTCAGTAGCAAAGAAGCGTTGATTCAGGAACTTCAGCTGGCAATCCCTCACCGGTAGCCATAAGACCCTACGAAGCATGACCAGGTACGCGGAATAATCCGAGAAGTGATTCGATCGTGGCCTTGCGAATTCAACAGGACCAAACAGTTTCTCCTCATCAGAATTTCAATCATTTATATATTCAGTACTTTATCTTCATAAACGCTCATGTCTTCCGATATTCCCAACAATTTTGAGGACCGATTGCGACAACGTGCTTCTACCACTAGGAACACGAACACGCTCGAAACTATACCCGTGAACCATCAACCTCATGAAAATATCCCGAATACACCGCTTGCAGCATCTACGATATCATTTTTATTAGGATGTATCTTTTCTCTTGGTCTGGCACTCTTTCTCACTGGAGGTATCTCTGATCACTGGTGGGCCACATACCAACTGGGCTTCTTCCTTGCCGCCTGGTCTGGCTTCCACTGGGGAGAATTCGCGGTCACAGCAGGCTGGAACCGTGACAAATGCAGCGTTGACTGTGCGTTTGTCTTTGTAACTCTGAAAGATATCTAATAAATGATGTGACAGCGTTCTTACTTGATAATGGCGCTATGTATCACGTCGCCAATGGAACCGCTCTGGTGGAATACCTAATTACGTTATACTTCAAACCATCGCTCAAGGCTTACCACTATATCTCAACGATTGGTGAGCTGTGATTGGCTCGCCAGAATGAAGCTGATGAATCTTCGTTAGGTGTAATGATGGCTGTCATCGGACAGACACTGCGTGCATCGGCAATGATACAGGCTTCGACTAACTTCTCTCATATCGTAGCTCTCCGCAAGCTGCCTTCGCACCGATTAGTAACTGATGGTGTATACTCGTAAGTGGAACATCTTCTTGATGATACCATTACATACACTTAAGTAACTTCACAGGGCGTTCCGCCATCCATCATACGCAGGATTTTTTTACTGGGCGTTAGGGACCCAGCTGGTTTTGCAAAACCCTATTACCTCCATTGGCTTCGTACTAGTCTTGTGGAGATTTTTCTCGCATCGTATCAAAGGTACATATTTATTATATCAGTCGTGGATGCATCAACTGATTTCGGAGCAGTTGAAGAGAGGGCATTAGTGAATTTCTTTGGAGAGGAATATGAAAACTACAGGCGAAGGGTCAACACTAACATTCCATTCATACGATAGACTTAAGAGCATTCAATCAAACGTATTTTCGTCTGACGACTGAGGCCAATACTTCCAGGGTGTCCCTATGCCATAGGTAGGTCCAAGCCACTTCCTTATCTTTCGATACATGATCGACTTCGTAGGATACACAGTTAGAGTAGCTTATGGAGAGGACACCTCAGATTCTCATGTAGTTCGGAAAATCAGTGTTTGTTCTGTACCCCGCCGATCGTCTCGATCAGTAGTAGAATGTCTTGCGTAGAACATGGGGTTGATGGAGATTAATGCATACGTAACATGGAATTTTGTATAATGCCCAGCTTCCCTTACAAACCACAACCCGTCTACTCCTGCGTAATGGTCGTGCGGTCGGATACGTAGATACCATCCAAGAATTTACGGATATCCTTGTTCCGTACGCGGCAAGCACCCTGAATGGAGGCGGCTAAGGCAGCAGTTTAGACAAAATTACTCAACAGCGGAAGGAGATTATGTACCTGATTGCGAAACATTCTCAATGTCATTACCCTCGAGGATGAGCTCGTCTTTTTGAGCCTTTGACTCTGAAATATTAACTCCGCCGAGCATCTTTACGTGTCGTACAGTCTATATGCCTTGAGCAAAAACTGAAGTAACGCCGTGGATAACAACTTACTTTCTCTCCCAAGAAGTTACGGATCTCGATGGCGTTTCCACTATCTTGGATGATAGCGTTGATCGGAAAATGGGCATATACAGCGCGCATTTTGTAGAGGAAGCCCTGAGTCCTGAATAAGCAATGAAAAACGCCTTGCATGTGGATGCACAAACCTTAGTCACACCAATGATCATGTTGTTAATCAAGCTTCGGATTGTCCGTAGACATGCGACATGCTTGCGCCCACCTTGCCACACCGCGAGAGTGACCTTGCTGCTCTTCTTGGTTTTCAACACCCGAATATCCATATCGACGTGACGGACATTCTTCGTAAGGGTACCCCGTGGGCCAGTGACTTTGATAACGCGTGACTTGATTTCAATGGCAATACCCTCAGGGACCTCGAGTTCTTCAGTTTGGAGGACGTCCCGCATCTATGTGCGAAGTCAGTTACTTCATTCGATATTGAGGCATCCTCGATGCGGGTAGTCAATCCATCGCCATCCAGAGGTCCAATCCTCGCCAAATTTCTTCCAGGAACATAGATACCAACACCCTGGAAGTTGACCCAGTCGCATCTGAATTCAGCATGAACTCACCTTGCGATCGTTGGTTTTCTTGAGGTCGGTGGGCGGCTGTGTATGTTCGGGGGGTGGACAGAAGTGGCGGACAATTGCGAGCGGAGTTTAAAGTCTAATTAGAGATGGCTATTGTCAGCCGCTTCTTCCACTCAAACCACCATCATCGTTTCCGTTGGGCTTCGTGGTCGTGTCATTGACAGCTGAGTAAGACCGCCATTGGAAAAAACGGGTTTCTAGCGCCAGTCGATCGTTCAAGAGTTTTGTGTTTTTATCAAGATCTTTACTTCTCCTCACTTTCTGGGTGAGATCGTACTGCATTTGCGGTGACTGTCTCGCACTTCGTTGAGAATTTTTTAAAAACGACTGTCATGTACTCTCAGCCCCACATGTACGGGCAGGTGGCTTATGCAGCACCACCAAGCTATCATCAGCCTGGACCTTCTGCTTACTCTTACCAGCAACCGCCCCCACCTCCTGCGCCTGTCTACTTTGTGGATCCCAATTCTTTTCGCCGTGATTATGCAGCGCGACTGGCAGAACTTACCATTAACTCCAGACCTATCATTCAGACCTTATCGATGATTGCTCAAGAGTATTCAAAATGGGCTGAGATTGTCGCTCAATGTTTGGAAGCCCACATTCGAAGGGTGAGTCGTCGTTGATATCGTTTTTATGGCATGTTGCTGTCAGTTGGTAGTTGACACATGGCTATATCTGTTACTTTACTGCGATGCTTTGCGGTTACCATGTACTTAGTCATTAGTCTCGTAGTAGTTTGAAAGATATCCTCGCAAGGCCTGGTGGCCCCGCTGCATGGCGGATGGAGGACATCGTACTAAGAGAATTATGTCGCTCTTCTCAACGTGGCAGCTCAGCGCTTTTCTTTTTGATGGGTTGTGTTATGGACATGAAGCTGACTCATGCTTGCCTTTTTGGTGTGGTTTTCTCGCATCGCTAGGTTCCTCCGTGGATTAAGCTCCCAGGCTTCTACTTACTGGACGCGATATCGAAGAATGTCTACGACCCGTATACGCGCCATTTTACTCCCTTCGTCATTGGTTTATTCCTGGAAACTTATCAGCAGGTTGATCAGGCGACTCGTAGCAAGATGGAAGAAATGCTTCTAACCTGGCGAACAGCCTCTCCGACTGGCAAGGAATTATTCGGCGTCATTCCACAACTTGCCATTGAGCGTGGAATATGGGGCGGCGATTCGAATCCAACAGGGGTGAGTTAACTTTGACGATCCCGCCGCTTCAGTGGACTGAATACACTTTCTTAGGCAACGTCTGGCCAGATATCGAGAGCACAGGTCCTGAGCGAACTTGAATTTACCCTGAGCCAAAAGGAACGCGCCCTTCAATCGAATGCTTGGGATACCACTGCACAGAGGCATGTACAGATTTTGCAACAGGTAAGTAACACTTTGCGTCGTCATTGTCTGTACGCTTATTTGGAGCAATTCAGTTGCGCAAGCTTGTTGAAGCAGGTGTTTCTCAAGATGAGCTCCGTCAAATCCTGACTCAGCTGAGATCTCTATCACAAGCCCCTCAACCTGCCGCGGCCGCTCCTCCGACAACTACTACATCATATCAATACCAAGCTCAGCCTGCATACCCTCGCCAAACTACGCAATCTGCATTCTCGCCTCCAGTATCACAACACTCTTCCTCTACTACTTATACGTCTTACGCCTTGCCGTCCATTAATCAACCTAAATCTGAACCGGTCGACTCTGCATCTCTTTTATCGAGCGTGAAATCTACAGCTGTCCCCTCAACTGACATCGCTGGACTTTACAGTGCTCTTTTAAAGGCCGGCATTGTGGCCGGCACTGGTACGCCCGTTGGTGCCGGAGCGACCGCCACTTCTGAGGACACTATTACATCGTCATCTGAAAACATGAGTCGGGATGCTGCAAGAGCATATCGCCAATCAGTGTTATCGCAGAACATCAGGCTAACGAACGCTGATATCACAAGGTATGGTTGATACCCTTTCGCTGCTGATCAGTGTTAATCTAGTAATGCAGAAAACGTCCTAATATTGACCGTTTGTTGTATGATCGATTACCCGCCCAGTGTAAGCAGTGTGGTGTCAGATTTTCGGATGATACACTAGGAAAGAAAGAGATGGAGGATCATCTTGACATGCACTTCAGACAAAATCGTAAAGCAAATCAGAGCCTTGGCCGTGGACATAGCCGTAGTTGGTTTGTCGACCTTGATGTACGATTTCCCTTTTTGTTGGACCCCAAACATGCTAACCGTTTTTCGCAGGATTGGGTTCACGAGGGTCGTGTAGATGTGAAGGGTAAAGGCCGTGCTGATGGTCCTCGACCTACGACCAATAAGGCTGCGCTTGCAGTAGATGCAGCACGACGTGATGCTGAGCTGCGCACGCAGTTCGTTGTTGTGCCATCGGGCGACGAAGCGAAGTCCTTGTCTTGTCCCATATGTAAAGAGACTCTGAAGACAGAGTTCCTAGAGGATGACGAGGAGTGGGTCTGGAAGAATGCTGTCAGAAAGGATGATAAGGTGCGTCTCGGCTCGTCCATGATGAGTATCTTAATAACGTATTGGCCTAGATATATCACGCAACATGTTATGCTGAAGCTATGGGTTCGATGCATACTCTGGCTTCAAGATTACGCCAAGATACAACCAGTCGGAGCAGGTCTGGCACGCCAGATGCTTCCAGAGCTACGCCCCAAAAGGGCAACTCAAGTGTACGGTCTTCCCAGTCTCGGTCACCCGACTCTAAACGCGCTACACTCAAGCGCAAGGCGAGTGTCGATGATTGCAGTCAATCCTCTGTCAAAATGGAGAGTAATGGAACACCGCCTATGAAGAAGATGGCGCTTGCACCCTGAGAGTTGCATTATAGATTTTCCACATCTTTATTGGAATACTTATTGAGCATCATCACATGTATTAAACAAACGCATATCATATACATCATGATTGAATTGACTTTATATAATTATGAAGTGCCCGAGTTTTTGAAACAACCACTCCGACAGAATGTCATTGTATTAAGTCATCGGTTGTAAATTAAGTTGCAAAAGCAGGTTAGCACATAGTACTTTGTAGTCTTTGTTCCACGCGTTTGCCGCATTCCCCAAGAAAACTCGTTTTTTTTTCACTCTTGACTGCATGAACAACTCAATCAACGACCAGTACGTTCTATCCGATGTCATTTTCTAACCTTTTGTCACTACAGCAACCTGGTATTGGAAATGGAGATTTTAAGCACAGTGAGGACCCTATCGCTCATCACTCATTAAGTTCAAATGTCCCTTACTACCCGAAATCGCAGCCCCATCTCCCCCGAGTACACATCTGTTTGAGACGCTGAAGAGTATCGACGAATTCTCAAACAGCCTAACTCTAAGAGATGTCGAAATGCAGGTACGCTATCATGCCTGTCCCAACAGACCTCGTACTGATTATTTGCACGCCACCTCCTAGGCTCCTCTATCGGAGGAACTGACCGTCATCGTCCTTGACACGAACATACTACTGGACTATCTTGATGTAATACAAGTATTCGTCACGGAGGTTGAAGAGCAGGGATTGCCTGTGTTGATTATTATCCCGGGCGTTGTGATTTACGAGCTTGATGGGTGAGTATGGTGGTAAATCGCATGAATCTGTATGAAGAGCGCTCATCTGATGATCGCTTGCCAGGCAGAAGAATCGCGAGAGGCTCTCTTGGTTTGCCCGTAGAGCATCATCATGGTTGCTGAAAAAGGTGAAGGAACGAAGGTCGGTCAAAGGCCAGGCCTTGAACGAGACGTGCAAAGCCTCGGGAAATTGGAAAAAGAGGGACCTGGATGCTGTACTGGTAGGTCTTGTTATCAGTCCTTGTTCCATCTTTGATGATGATTTTGATGGTAGGAATTTGGTTCAGAGCGTAGCAACGACAGTTTGATCATCGATTGCTGCAAATATTTCCTACGGCAACGGCGAACATTTTTGTGTAGCAAAGACAAGCTTTTGATCGTGGAAGCCGAAAGTGAAAGTAGGTATATGAATATGATCTGTCATGCGCAAAGTTCTCATACGTAACCGACGCGGGAAGGTGTAGTTGACAATATCACCCAGTCGGAACACATTTTCTAGCTGGGATATTGCTCAAGTTCTCTTTGGGGCTGAGGCTACTCGCTTCAAGTTCAGCAGATCTCATGCAACTTATCGAAATTCATTGGAGACTTTGATACAAGTGACGCCTGCACCAGAGCCAGAGGATGACGGAATGGATGTCGACGATGATGCCTCTTCTGTACCTCAGCTTCTACAGCCAACCCACTCACTAGATCTCCTCCACCTGCAAGTGATCGATTATTTCACGGGGTTGCTTCTGGAACTAGTTGCTCGTGTAGCGGGCCCTGATGTGCGGAGTTTTGGCTGCAGCAACTCAGCATCAAAACATGCGCCTTCCTATTCAAGAAAGAATTTTGCAACGTGGGGTGCTGTAGATTGTTTGGACTACCTAGGCGCGAAGAAAAGGCTGCCTAGGACTAGTCCACGGGTGGACACCTTCATGACACGGCCATACAAAGGTGTGGGGGCACGGAGAGGTCAAGATTGGTCCCGACGGGATTGGGAGACGGGGTTAAAGGGGCTGAGGGAAATAGGCGATGACTGGCAAGAAGGATCTATTCGTGAGTCAGTGCCTGCCGCCGAACTTCACATCAGCCGTGTATTTGCGATGCCGATGCGGCCAACGGGGCTGTGATCGAAGTCTCCCATGGAATCGCCCCGTAACACTAATGCATCATGAGATAAGCAGACCGTAGGCATGAGGCTATGGCAGTCGAATCAGAATGTGTAAATGTTGACTTGACACAATGTTTCAATCATGGTCCAAATTTGGCAAGGGTGAAATGAACCTTCTGTTCTCGGTTGCGTTCTTGTTTGGCAAGTTTCTCCTCTTTACTCTATTTTTCCTTCTTCCTCCTGTCCCCTCATGGCAAAACGACGTACACTTTATATTCTCCTTATTCTCCTTGCTCTTGTTCTATTCGGTACCGTCGTCGTCTTGTCTTCCATCTCCTACTACCTCTACATCAATGCCGCAGCATATATTCCAGACAGGGAGGTCCCAGTGTTAAGCAACACAACACGCTGGAATGCAACGGAACATGGAAAGCTTGAGAGGATACCCCGTATTATCCACCAGACTTGGAAGTCGGAGACGCTTCCAGCTGATTGGAAACGCCTCTCTGAGGCATGTCGAAACATGATGTCCGACTAGTCCGTATCCGTCTCATCTCCGCCACTCAAAGTTCTTATCATTATTCTAACAGCGACTACATGCTCTGGACTGACGCCAGCTCCCGCGAGTTTATCGCAGAGTACTACCCCTGGTTTCTTGATACGTTCGACGACTACGAGTTCACGATTCAACGAGCTGATGCTATTCGTTATTTCGTTCTTCATCACTATGGGGGAATATATCTCGACCTTGACGTTGGATGCCTGCGACCTCTGGATCCGTTATTGATATATCCCGTCATCTTACCCAAGACCATACCTGTCGGCGTTTCCAATGACCTCATGTTTGCTGAAAAGGGTCATCCTTTCCTCTCCCAGACTATCCACAACCTTGTCACGTTTGACCATTCTTGGATATTAAACTATCCCACCGTCATGTTCTCCACAGGACCCATGTTCCTCTCTTTTCAGTACAGCCTTTACACTGCGTCACATCCTATCACGCCGTACGAACCAGGAGATGTTCGAATCCTCCCCAAATCTCTTTACGGCAAGAACGCCAAACCAGAAGAAGCTCCCCATTCATTTTTCGCCCATTATTACGGTAGCAGCTGGCATGCCGACGATGCTGCATTAATCAGCTTCTTGAGTACGTGGGGGAAAGGATTGATGTGGTTGGGTTTGGTCATACTAGTCTATGGGATCTACAAGCTCACAGTCCCTAGCAAGCAAAGAAAGTATAGTCTCAGGAGAATTGGAGGATATGATGTCCTTTTGCCTAGGTGGACTCAGCGCAATGGGCGCTGGCACATCGACATGCGGTGGTCCTTTCTTCCAGCGTCTGGTGCTTCTACGCAACCATCATCTCCCATCAACTCCGCTCCCCAGTCGCCATTGGACGAACATGTTTCATTACTGCCCCTTCCTTTTGAGTTAAGATCGGACTCACCCGTACCCTCCGACATTTCATCTTCTGTGGACATATTTCCGACGTCAAGTTATCGCGCGCCATCATCTATCCTTGATGTTGTGCGTCGCGTGCGAGACCGTGCCACGGGTTATTTGAATCTATCTCGAGAGCCGCCTGTGTTACCACGCGCCCCATCTCGCGGTCGGAGGCAACGGTCCAGAGGAGTCATGTTCTTCCTCCCGGCTATCTTTACTCAATCCCAGAATATGGACATTCTCACGCGCAGCCCGCCTCCACAACCATCTTCTGGACGGAATTTACCCCCTTCTTCTCAGCTACCCCTTGAGAAGCTTTGGCAAGGGGCTGAGAGTAGAGTTGGAGATGAATCAGCCGAGTTTCATCAGGGCTGCTCTCAATCACCTCGGCCACCATTGGAGAATCGTCTTCCGCATTCGTCTTCAAGTCCGCTTATTGATCTCGAACAGCAAAATTCATAGCATTGCGATGAAACACTTGACTTTATTTGATGCTACTCACACTACTCTAGTAAAAACGCTATTGAACCCTGCTTCACCTACGGCTGTGGAACGCGTTTAGATACCAAATTCTGCTTTTGAATGATGATTTCTACGTATATTTCTTTGATATATTGCATGGGACATGACCTGATAATACCTACACGGCTGTCTTCTCAGGTGGCGGTTTGCAACATTGGAGTTCTGCAATTCACAGTCATCCACCAAGTTCTATTCGTATCTATTAGTGTTCCTATAGAATATCGATATTGATAACAATTGGACTGATTCGCGTGCGAAATCTAATTTTCCATTGACTTCCCGCAGTGGTTAGAACATCACTCTAAAGAAGTACGCCGCCCTCAAATGCTTTGCAAGTCCGTAAAGCATTTCTAGATTGCGACTAGGTGTGAGACGCCACTCCGACTTTTAAGGTTTGAATCAGAATTTAGGTTCTGCGCAAAGTCACTAGTACTTACTGATCGGCGGCGGTCTCATCATGATTTTCCCGGTAGAACGGCGACGGTTTTCATGGACGCTGACAAAGTCAACATAGCCATTGCGCTTACACCATAAGTAACAGACGGCCCGAAGGTCCAATATGACGCGCATGCTGACGAGTGCAAATCAAGTCAGCCAGCCTTACCTTTCGGACATAACCTAAAACTTACCAAGCAACGGCCCTATTGCGCGACCTAGCTGACCTGATGACCGGAATTCACCTAGTGCCTTGCCCTTGGCCAACTCAGGATATACAGCCGCAGGTTTGCCTGTATCTTTGTCGAAGCCCTCGTCGCACTGGAGGGAGGCATGTGCAGTAAGCGAGCTTACAACTGTCGCGGAAGTGAAAGCCAGACAGACCGCTGCGGCTCGCAGCAGTCCGACAGCGATTTTCGGTTGAGTGGACACGAAGTGAGGAAGGATAGTTAGGAACACGAGGCCCAGTGCGCAGCTCGAGACCCCTCGTTGTGCCATTTTCCCCTCTCCTACTTTGGAGATAGCACGACGGACGTATCCTCCCTGTAAAAGAGCACTGATGATGCCAATGGTGCCAATTAATGCTCCGTTCTGTTTGTTATTCCAATCGAATACTGTCATCGGAGTTTTTAACGCATGATTTCAGGAGCATGTTAATAATGACGCACGATCGAAGGTAAGGAAAGTGAGGGTGAATTCCACGCCTGAGAAGATTCCTAAGAAAAGGAAATGGAGCTTGCGCAAGACCCGCAAAATTTCAGTCCTCTCTTGCACACTCCGTACCGCAGAAGCAGCATTCGACTTCTCGTTGACATGGACTTCTGGTTTGTCGGGTTGGGTATTTCGGGTTTCGGGAAGAGCAACTGTTAGGAACAAAGTCTCTGCGATAAGCAGTACGAGCGTCAATAATGCCGGGACCGCGTAGACGTTCAATTCCATTTGTAGAGCCCCTACAAATAGGGGAACTGGCCTCGAGGCAAAATAGGCTCCGATCGGGGGCCCAATACAAAAACAGATAGCAAACGCAATTCCAACATGGGCAAGGGCTTTAGATCGGTTCCTGGGCGTTGAAATATCAGAGAGGATGGCACTGTTGACGATGTCGGTCAGTTCTAGTCCTTGGATTATGACAGAGAACTGACGTAGCAAGTTGCACGTTGCCTTCACTAAGACCCCCTACGACGCGGGAAAGCATATAAGAAGCAAAAGTGGTTGACTGGATCCAACTGGCGGAGAATCGGTTCAGGAACTCGATGATAAGAATGACTTCAGTGCTCACATGAGCGCGGACAATATATTTCCTATCATAGTGACCAAAAGGACATTCCTGCGCCCATAAGTGTCGGAGAGAGATCCTATATGCGGCGATACCAAGAACTGTAGAGTGCTGCAAATACCAAGTGAATACAACCTTAAATAAACTGCGAACGCGACTCGAAGACATACGAGAAAACGGAACCCATCAGACCCCCTTTGAATAATTATCAGATCAGTATAAACCACGTCTTATGATTGAAACTGGACCAACCAAGGAAAACTACATCCCATCTCTGGGAGTTTTGTAGTGGCTTATAGAAGATGCCTCGCACCGCCGAAACAAACCGCAGTGTTCTGGAAAGGAGGCCATTGGGGTCGGAAATTTCTCTCTACATAATCAATGAAGGAACTAGAGACACGTAACATGGGGTACTTACCACAGTATACCACTCGATTATACGAGGAAACAAGGGTAGAGGGATTGTAAATGCTTTGCCGAGGCTTCAGACTCATTTCGAAACTGAGCATGGCATTGGCACTCACCAAAGAGATCAAGAACGAGCGACAGAAAGACTATACGTTCTACTTTTCCCATGTTCTCTTTCAGAGGCGCAAGCTTAGAGGATGATATTCACGACCCGCGTTCGAACTGCGCAAGTGAATACGATAGGCCACGTCAATAGTTTGGCGATCTAAATAACGGAAGTTCAGCTAATGGGAAAAGTGACTCGCAAACCAGTTGCGAGTACACCAGTGTGTTAGTTGTTTGGATGAATTACACAGAGGCGGTACATATGTTGCGGTTCATCACATATGCACTGCGTTATGATCGGCTACGTGGGCCGACTGTGGGTACTTTCCCCCGAAAGGCAGACTGGACATATAATAAATCCCCGGCCCAGACACCTACTACACAAGACATTCTACTACTATGAATCCAACATATTTGATGCTTCCATCTCTGTGTCACCGTCATCCAATTCTGCAACATCTCCTGCTACTACACCTCGGAACTGCTGGTCTTCAGAAGCCTGAGTAAGACCAGTCTGGAAATGCGAACTTGTCTCAGTCTTGGTAATCTCTCGCAATGCCATCGTGGCGTATGCGGCCGTCCCGAGTGTTAAGTTTACCTGGAGCGCGCGAAATTTCCCATTGTCGACGACAGCTGGTGGGTCAAACCCAAGGAGTTTGTCTTCGTCTGCTTGTGCAAGTGGGACGTCTGGGTCTGTGTATCTGAGTATAGACCACGAGAGATCTTTTGGAACCTGGAGGATTTTCCGGTAGGAGCCATTAAGAGTGTACTCTCTGGAGATGTCCTGTCAGTTTCGCTTATGGTAGGACGGATCTAGCGTACTTTTGTTTGCGGATGAAGTTATCCGGGTCGAGTCCATCCAAGCGCAGGAATTCCCGATAGCGCTCCCCGAGCGTACCACCTGGGTAATCAACATCTCTACCCGGGAGTGGCATGATTACGTCAAATATTGAGTACTGGTGGGCATCCTCTTCAGTGAGTATTTTGATACTTGGTGCAACATAAGCAGCCTTGGCAGCTTTCTTGCGCTCACGAGAGCTCAAGCCTCAAATGACAAAGTTTCAATCAGAACAACATAACAAATAGAAAAGAAACTGACCCTTTTCCTCTGTGGTGGCTTGCTTCTCATTATCATTACCCGCATCATCGTCCACTTCCATCCCATCATTCTCTCCACTCCCTCCCTTAGTGGCCGGCTCGCTTTCAAAAACGATATCACCAGGTACCGCCTTGTCAGGACCGTGTATACGAATTCGCTCCGAGACGATGGCATTCCACACGTAGGATTGGTATGCATGGACATACATGAGCCGCAAGTTTCGAGGAATCTAGATTGAACTATATGAATAACAGCAATGTTACTAGAATCTTGACATACCGTAGACAAGGCACCCATTGCGTTCCTGGTTTCTCCACCTTGCTTTTTGTAGCTCTCGAGAATGCAGCGCTCCGCAACCACCCGTCTGGGCATTAAAGCCAGGGCACGATCCAAATCGCCATCCACTAACCACGCGTCACGGGCTGCGACAACTTCAGGGTGTTCTCCAGGCCGATTCTGGAGGATCAGGGAAACAGCTTTGTGCCAATCAGATTTCAGAATTGCCAAGCCAATGGAGTGAGTTGGCACTGCGGCCGTCCCAAAGCGCTGCATCCCTAGAGTTGTACTTCAGACGAATCAGTAATTTGCTAGATATCGAACTCACCGTAGTAATTGATGAACCCTTTGTGCTTGATCGAGTTCATGGCACGGTCAAGAGTTTCTACATTTTCTACCTGAACGTTACTTCATAATCTTGTCAACGAAGCTTCAGAGCAGTACCACTTGAAACATACCGAAGTGTGATAACGAAGGCATTTCCTTTCAGCATACCAAGCTCTAAACCAGCCTTGCGATAATTGAAATCCGCTATTCTGACTCCACGGTCACCACGCTGGGACAGTATATCTTGCACGGATCGCCTGTTGAATTGATTCGCAGATTTCCATATATCCTCCACAGTTTTGTTCCCACGTCGCAATGACACGCGCTGGACGGTAACGCCGCGTTTGTCTTTTGTCCCCGCAACAGCCAAGTCTTTTATGTTTACATGGAGAGTACGTGATAAGTAGCCGAGAGCGTCTTGGGTATCACGGTTGGTTTTCTGGAGAGTGAAATGAATATAAGGAGGATGGTTCCCCCTGTCTGAGCGGTCGCCTCGACCTACGAAGATATCAGAAGAGTGATAAGAGATCTCTTGAAACAAATGGTGAAACATACCTCCACGGCTTCCGCGACCACCACCGCGACCACCACCATTGCGTGACCATTTTATAACTATGCGAGATCCATCGTCCCCAGCAGGGGTCGACATATCAGTCTCGCTGTCAAGCTTCCCACCAAATAACTCTCGAACAACGTGATGCAGAGCCGTCCGGTCCGTTTTGGAGGAAATTGGCTGCCAAGGGGTAAGGGCACATGGTAAGAGAACCTTGTATCTCGTCTTACCTCGCTGAGGACTTTTCTGTGATCTTCTCTTTCTCCTCCCTGCCGGCCACCACGACCTCGTCCGCGACCACCGCGACCACCACGACCACCACGGTCACCGCGACCGTTACGGTTCTTTCCTCTTTTCGCTGTGTCATCGCTCTGCAACGCATCCACTTCTTCTGATGGCTTCGCCGTATCTGGGGTTTCAGTACTGTCCTCGGTAGTTTTGATAAGCCGACTTCCCCAACCACTGTCGGTCACCCTCGGAGGCTCGCGTCCTTCAAGGAACATTGTTTTCAATTGGTCGATAGAAGCCTCGCTAAGATACGGGGCTAGTTTTTCCGTGAATTGGTCATTCCAGGGTATGTCCGCGGGAGTGGAATCATCTTTGTCCTTTGCTTCAGTGCTAGTAGACAGTTCCTCTACAGTATTCGACTCAGCGCTGGTGACGGGCTCCTGGGGTTGGGTTATTGAGGCCCCAGCATTGGCGGTGTTGGAACTTCCCTCGTTGGTACCTTTTCCCTTCTTCGAAGATGACTCTGGCATGTCCAACGACTTGAGATGAATGACCTGGTGATCTTGATTCACTTCGAACACTAGGAAGTCTGTAAACCTATGGCAAATTCATGTCCGATTGTAGTTCCATTATAAACACGAACACTTACCGCTGTTTTATGATACCACTGATGGGAGGGACGTCCCGGCTTATATACTCGGAGATCCCAACATCGGTCTGAAGGACCTGACGAAGGCCATTCGATGAGAACGTAGGCGCTATGCCTAGGAGAGCATGGCTAGGAGGAAGGACACTTTCAGCTGCAACCGCTGAAGTGCTCTCCTTTGAGTCTGCAGCAGCAATAGCCGCACTCATGAGCGGGGAGGTGTCTGCGACGATGGGCCCATCATCCGTCAGCTCGTCGACTTTGGCGCGTTTGGGTGAACGAGCAAGCTCTTCATCATCTTCACGTTCCCGGATAGCTGAAGACGACATTTTAATGGTTGATCGAGAACAGTCAAAAAGCCTGAGAATAGATAAGATAGCAAAACCAAATTTATCCTAGATGAAATCAAGCTCGTCTTGCTAGTGACCATCATGTCGTCTCCTCATCTCCAGACATACAACGAGCGAGCAAAGAAACATGCCAACAAAGCCGCGAGGGCTTTGCTCGGAGTCATGGAGGAAAAGCAGTCAAATCTCTCTGTTAGCGTCGACGTGACTAAATCCAAAGACTTCTTCGACATCATCGAGGCAGTTGGTCCTCATGTTTGTCTTATAAAGGCATCTGTCACTTCTTCCGAACTCTCAATTAATGCTTATGGCGCTACCGAAAGACCCACATCGATATACTCGAAGATTTTGATCCGACTGTGATTGACCGCCTCCGAGAGCTTAGCGAAAAACACAAGTTCTTGATATTTGAGGATCGTAAATTCGCCGACATAGGTAAGGTATTGCAGATTTCGGATGACAGCTTACTGATATCATAACTCTTAGGAAGTACCGTGGCATTGCAGTATTCGAAAGGGATCTACAAGATCGCGGACTGGGCTCATATTACCAACGCTCACGCTGTTCCGGGGCCATCGATCATCACTGGCCTAGCCTCGGTTGGCATTCCCAAAGATCGGGGGCTCATACTCCTGGCAGAAATGAGCTCCAAGGGTGCACTGACCACCGGGTCATATACAGAAGATGCAGTTCGTATGGCTCGAGCTCGCAGGGATTTTGTCATCGGCTTTATTGCTCAACATCGCATGGAAGGTATTGGTGCATCCGATACCGACAATATTGCGGGGGAAGATTTCTTGGTTCTCGCGCCAGGAGTAGGCTTAGATGCCACAGGCGATGCCATGGGTCAGCAATACCGCACTCCAGAGCAAGTCGTTTTTGAAAGTGGTTGTGACGTTATCATTGTTGGAAGAGGTATTTATGGCAAGGGTGAAAATGTGGATACACGGGAGGTTCTTAAGCAAGCTCAGAGATATCAAGCTGCTGGTTGGGAAGCATACAAAAAGCGCGTTCAGCGCACATAAGTAGCAGGGTATAAATAACTACACGAGCTTACTTGGAAATACTTCCACCATATTTTACTTAATGGCGCCTCACACCTTTATCCGACGCCACCACCATCTAGCGTCTCTGGTTCCTGTTGTCTTCTCTCCTCCTCTCTTGCTTCTCTTTCTTCTGCTTCTACGACTTCGACATCGAGAGGAAACGTGAGTATTGCAGCAATACCCGTTAGTTGATTCAACTCTGCGTCCTCGTGAGTACGATAAATAGAAGCACGTTAAGCACGTTAGACACATACGTTGACCGGATTCGTGCATGCTCGAGAACATGACAACTTCTGCACCCTTTTGTTGCACTCCTTCGACGAGTTCGACATATGTCTTCCGCAGCTTCGGGTCACTCGCACTGTCCGAATTGCTTGAGCTGCAGTATGCCAGTGTGCGACACAATCATCTCACCGGAAAAGCTCATCGGAGATGAGGAGTGTCCCTATGGCTCCACGGTCTGCCGCTAAACGGACATGATCAGGACCATACCACGCGCGCATCTCGTCCACACCGAGCATCTTGAAGAACCTGACAAAAAAAGTAATCAGCATTAACAGTACAGCTGCCACCACCAGCATGCCTACTTATCAAGAACTATTCCCTCCCGCGCAAATTTTGTTTCCTTGAGCTGTGCAACAATCTGCAAGTGTAATAAATGCACCTGTACGACAAAGTCTTATACCAAAAACCCTACCTCTGGACTCTTGAGAACTTCGACAAGACTGTGGACGTGCGCGCTACTAACATGCACTTTCACGGTCTTTTCTCGCAAAGCCTTGGTCAACGTCTTGTCCCCCCTCCTCCCGGCTTCTGTTATCATAGCATTGAAAACGCCTTCTCGTACCCAACCTGGGCTTGCAAACACAATTGCTCGCAGACTAGGTGACGTATAAGGTATGTGTCGCACAAATGCATCGTAGAGTATGGCATAAAATTTCGCCATCGCCTTCTCGTATTGAGACGTTCCAGGGGCAGAAGCCTTGCGTGGTATTGGAACCGATATCCGATGGGTGACCAGTGTCATGTGTTGTGAAAGGAGACAAAACGCGGCTGTGCCTTCTCCGCATACAACTGCGCCTACCTCCGCGCCGCGTCCCGGCACACAAGCTTCCTCGACACGAGCAAGGGCCACACTGTCCCATCCATCAACCTTCTCGATGCGTATATCGCGGTTACTCTCAATGTCAAGCGTATGAAACGCGCCCATCTTCACATGTCGGTTTTCAGATGCAACAGGGCCAGAGATATGCAGCGCTGAAGTGGTTGCGGGTGCCGCAGATGAAGATCCTGCAGGGGATGGAGTTTGATCCGCTGATGACGAAGGTGCTCCTGATGAGGAGAATTCGACTCGGGATACTTGGATGGTGAGGTTCAACTTGACACGATGAGATTCCGTAGATCCAGTAGCAGATATACTCTGTATGCGACTATCAAGTATTTAGCATGTTAGAGAATCGCTGATAGCGCAAATGTCCTACCGAATGGCTGGTGCTCGCACAAGGTCACCTTGTTGTATAATGTTGTAGAGATGCCACATATCTTCATCATCCTCGGGTCGGAGGTTGACATAGCCCTGTTCAAATCAATTAATCGATCTTTCGCTAACGAACACCGTGAACGACTCACGGTCCCGTTTTTGTCGACGAATTTACCGATGAGCTTCATCGTGGAGAGTGATTGACGTAAAGTCCTACTCTGCGGTTGAAGCTGCACCCAGGGCCAAAAGGGGCCTGAACAAGTAATCGCGTGCTCTTGGCAGTCACTCAGTACTCATCAATCGGATTCAATCCACTGTCCACTGGGCTTGCTATTGTCCTCACAATTCTCCAGCTATTCACAACTTGCAAGAGCTAGTAGGGGAAAATATGAACAATGTGTGAGTCAGAAATGAGCACACAGCAACTTCTGCTAGCTCATCATGACCAGAATACATTCGAAGTTAGACTCTCTAGCATCGCGTCTCGTAGATTCCAATTATTCCCGGGAGGAAGATCAAGAAGACGACGATGCTATCTTTGCAGAACTCGAAGCAGAGATAGAGAACGACGCTGATGCAACAGTGCGAGATCGGGGCCTAGAGCAGCTCAGGCTCGAGTGAGTCGTGCGTTCCATTGGTGTTCACTGTCCGACAAATGACATAAACGTCTGCAGAATGCAAAGAGCCAAAGAAATGAGAGAAAATGCCCATGGGAGATACATGGAGATCACGAACGAGAAAGAGGCCATTCGGATAAGTGCGTGAGTCGCCCACTCTGTTCGTCTCGTTCTTTGCTACATCATCCTGCTTTTAGGAATGAGTCATACTGCGTGATTCATTTTTACCATAGTAATTTCAGGAGATGTGAGATCATGGACAAGCACCTCGCAGTGAGTAATGGTTCGTGCCTCGAAGAAAGCAGATTACTGATGGATTCATGTAAGAAACTCGCGCCAAAATACTATGCTACGCGTTTTATTCGCGTCTTCGTGGAGAATATGCCATGGCTAGTTGAGAAGCTTGCCATTAAAGTCCTTCCATGTCTGATGTGCTTCGTCGACGGGGTGTCAAAAGACCGGTATGTCTTATGGTCTTGTCAATGTCATCCAGTTACTCATCTATTCTTAGTCTTATTGGGTTCGAAGAACTCGGGAATAATGATGCGTTTGAGACTGCGGTACTCGAGCTTAGGCTAGCGAATAGCGGTAGTGATCTCGCCTATACCTCGTCACTTATGTCTAATCGTCCTTCAACAGGTGTCCTTCAAAAAGCGCGAAATGCTTACGAATCTGGTATCACATACAACGTCTCGTCATCTTCAAACACAAGTAAATTACGAAGGGGTGGACAGACAGATCAGGATGACGACGAGTTTGATTTATGATGGTTTGCTCCATCGCCCTACTTGTCATCTCGTATTCCTAATGCTACGTGCAAATCGTGCTGGTCACTCTTCACCAGGTGTCTTATACCTCCTAATAGCCCTCACTCTCGCTTCAGCATGGTTGACGATGGGTCTCGGATACCCCAATTTATCAGCAACCTTGGCCGGAGGGTTGTGGATATCTGCATTCGTAAAACAAACATCGGTTGAACGCCGAGCCGCGAGTTAATCTACACTTACCAGATCCATAGAGATTCTTCAACTCTGGTACGAATGTCCTTATAAAATCACCTGTCGGATCTGCCTTGGAGGACTGTGTATAAGGATTGAAGATCCGGAAGTAGGGTGCTGGGTCTACTCCAGTGGAGGCACTCCATTGCCAGCCGCCGTTGTTACTTGCAAGATCACCATCTATGAGTTTTTCCATGAAGTACTGCGAGCGCTCGTCAGAAAAGCGCATGAAAATGAAAATGAAGAGACGAGCTCACGCGCTCTCCTAGTCGCCAATCCAACATAAGATCCTTCGATAGGAACATAGCGACAATCATGCGCATACGATTATGAGTCCAACCTGGCAGTCTGATGAGTCAAGATTCCGAAGGATCGATACAAAACATACCCATGGTGTTTATCTGCCTCATCGCGGCATCGACGATAGGGATGCCAGTTTTTCCCTCTTTCCAAGCATTCAGGTGCTCCTCGTTAACCTCCCACTTGACATCAGCAAACCTCTCTTGGAAGGGTCGACCCATGGATACTCGCGGGTAGTATGCGAGGACGTTGGTGTAAAAGTCTCGCCAGGCTATTTCATCATACATCAATTATGCGTCCAGTGCATTTGGAAGAAACAAACCGAGTTCCTGCACCCAGCGACCTACGCCCGATGACCGTCCAGCCTCCACTTTTTGGATTCTGAGAAGCTTCATAGTTTGACGAACGCATTCCCTGACAGAAATGACCCCAGCAGATAGGTAGGGGCTCAACCGCGACGTAGTATCCTTGTCCCCTCTGTCACGAGCCTCGTCATACAAGAGGACTCTGCTGCGTTTGTCGGAATTCTCGGCTCCATCAGCTAGAGGATCAACAGCTCCAAGCTGCGTCGTACGCGCTTTGGTGTACAAGAACCGAGAGAGCATCTGAAAAATGTTTAATTATGATCCCCTCTTCTAGTGCAACACTCGCCTCTTTGGCAGACAATGTTCCTGCTGGCCATATGTTTGCCATATTGGCAGCCTCTTCAGGATCAAGTTCGAAGCCATGCACCGACACAGGTACATCGATATCGAATAACGGGCCAAAGACATGATTCTCCCTGATTGTCGAGGGGTTGGGATCTGGAGATGGGAACTCCTTCAGATAATCTGAGAGGTTCGAATTTAAGATGCTGATCCAGTTTCGTTGATACGGCGAGTAGACCTGAAAGACACATGCTGAGAATAACAACTTGAAAACAGGTGATAGGGGGAATGTACCGTGTATGTCCTCCCATCCTTCGTTTCCACGACGCCTGGCTCAATGATACACCTATCGTGCACATACGTAGGCCTGATTCCCGCGTTCTGGGCTAAAGAGCAGACTTCAGTATCACGCCGAAGCTCATCAACCTCGTATTCGAAGTTCGCAAAGAGTCGAGTGGACTGGAGAGTCTGCAAGACCGAGATAACACGAGTTGGCACGGACTTTCGCGGCGTATGCGTGAGGGTGTAAAGGGGAATATTTAATTTTGCAAGCTCGTCCTACCAAAGTATAAATTAGCCTTCCGTAGTGATAGAAGTAACACAAATCTGTTTCACCTTTACTCGTGAAAGGTTACGAAGAACAAAATCGATTCTTGTTTTGCTCCTGTCGTGTGCGATATAATCCTGGGGGCTCAAGACATGCAAGACCACAAGCGGGACTTGATCTTCGACTGCCTGAGCTGATGCGAGGGCGAGAGCTCTATTATCAGAAACTGGAACAAGGAGTTGACCAAGACGGATACGCAGGTTGAACCAAGAAGCAACACGTACTGCGCAGGTCTCCCATCCTCATCCAGTAAACTACCGATTGTCCTTTCGAGGGCTTCTGTACAACATTGCGCAATGCGTCCAGGAGTCGCAGGTACGGCGGGTGAGTCTGAACGGAAGCTGCAGCTTCTGCTGTTGCAATCTTTATGGGTGCAAAGAGAGAGTCAGTGGTTCTGCCTTTCTTTGACATCGCAAGTGGACTCGGGCTACGAGCTCTCTTCATCATGGTCGTAAAGAAAGAAGGAATATGGACTCCTGCTGGTCTGAGTCCTTTGTAATATATAGGCGATTAGTAGTCCACATCGTAATTCTCTGCTTGGGATCGACGC